CTGTACGTGATGCTGCATCGGAAGCTGAACTGTCACAAAAAGCCCTAAGGAAAAACGTCAGCTGCAGCAATCAAAGAAAGGAGACATCCACCTATTGCACAGGCGGTCACCGGAGGTACGAGCTTGTACCAGTGTAGCCTCAAGGGCAGTGACCTAGCAACTGAGAGTAGAGGCTACTAAAAGATTGAATTCGTTCTTTGGCGCTTGAAGGTAGCTTAGCTAACAGAGATTCGGCTGCTGTTTCCTGGAGGTAACTCTCAAGTGTTCGCTGGGCAGTGATCCTCATTCTCCACATAATGTCAGAAATCGGCTCACCTCGCCGATATGCAATCACAGCCCCCCCACCTCGGATGCCCCCAGGAGTAGGACGCAGCTTCACAGGGATCTGTAGAGCATCTAGCAGCTTGTTCCATCTCCGCCGAAAAGCGGAAGCACTCAAAGGGCAGAGGTTCAAAGAGGGGTCCAAAGCACCGAAGATCTTTTCCAGAAACAGGACTGAAGCAGTATCTTTAATCTTCAAATGCTGGACCCTCCCAAGGCCTCTCCTCAACGTCTTCGGTTTCTTCACCTTCAAAAAAGCTACCAGGTTCGATGAATCAAAGGCGTCACTAGGCAGAAAAAGATCCTTGCATCCACTTAAGCGTATTACGGTATTACAAAAAAATTGGGGCTTTGGAGATATTTTCTCGTTTTGGTTTTTCATAATTAAGTTATTTTCAGAACTCGTCGCTTTGTACTTTCAGACTTTGTTACAAAAACCTTCATGACTTTTAAAACCATGCCACATGCGTTCTACTAGAATTCTCAACTCAATTTTCCTTAGTTGTGGTATATGACACATTTTTCTTCTGACACACTTATTGTGGGACAGCTTTTCTGTTCTCTGCCTGGCGACGTCCACAGAAGGAAATTTCTCGTATAGACGCCCTGCTAGATATTTTAACAAGTGTCATGGTTATTTTCTTTTCTCGTTTTCTTTTGGCTCAATGGTTAAGATGCGCCGCTCCATTGTGGCTGTTTCGGCCGCGGTGCTGGCTGGCTCGGCCATTTTAGTGGCTGCTTCGGCCACGGTAGCAATGTCAAGCTTGGAAACCGGGGCCAAATTCAGATGGCGTAGTTCGAGCAAAAAATGGTGTAACATGTTCCTCGTCTCAGATGGCCAGCCAGAGCTAGGGTCATGGTTGGATGTGAAGCAGCAACCTTGGGGTGTTGATTGTAAAGTGTGCAAGGAAACTGGGGTTTCCAATCCTTTCGCTTCTTATTCAATGACCAAGAAGGGCCAACTGCAGAACTGCAATTTGATGAAGCACCATAAAAGCAAGGCGCACAAGGCAGCGGTGAAGGAATGGTTGAAGGAAGGGGGCTGTGTTGGTCCTAGTCCCGATGCAGCCCTGTCATTGAGTCAGTTTCAAGAGCTGATGGAGTGCTTTGGCGAGAAAAGATCATTGACGCAAAAAGAGCTGCAAATGGCATGGTGTTTGGCAGAGGGGTTAAAAGCTTTGGACCAAACGTTCATTGCGAAATCTTCTCACATTTCTTTGATGCGGGATGAGCGGCATGGGCGGTTGGCCATACGATTCATGGCTGTGGCCCCAGACTTGACAACTCGAAGTGGCTTTTTAGGCCAAGCAAGGCAAGCTGGAACAGGAGCTGCCAATGTCTCCTTAGCCACATGGGCAGTCATGAAGCGTGCTTGCTCTAGATTTTATATGGCTCCTCTTAGTCAGAATCCTGGGCGTTTGAAGAAAAATCTTTGTAAACACCTGCGGTCAAGAGTTGTGGCACTCGCTGCTGATGCAGCAGCAGATGAAATGGCAAGCTGTGAAATATTAAGGTCAGCACACTTGAGTTTGAATACAGAAGACAACCAGCCAATGCTGCCAAACTTGAGGTCAGAAGTGGACAATCGATTGAGGGTTGGACACTTCTCAGGAGCCACCTGGGTATTTCAACTCACCCAAGCTGCTGCGGCCGAGGCTTGAGATTACGGGCGTAGTCAGGCTGCTTCGGCCTGCTCGTTGCCAGGCTGCTTCGGCCTGCCCGAAACTTTTTTTTGAAAAAAGTGGTTGCTTCAGGCTTCAGCCACAGAAGCTTGGCTGCTTCGGCCAAATCGCCTGGCTGTTTCGGCCAGCAAGGGTTTCGAGAAGACAGACTGTCTCTTAGAAAATAGTGGCTGCTGTGGCCTTCTTGGGACCAGGTTGTGGAAGAGACTTTGAAACCACCAAAGAGTATTTGAATCCAAAAAGGGGAAAATATGTAACATGTTTACTGTTTACTATTCAAATGTCCTTTAACCTGGTAAGGGGGATATTTTCTTTTTTATGTCATAAGGGATTTTGACATATGTTTAAAAATCATCTTAAGAATTACAGGGATGTAACCTCTTAAGACTATAAGACCCTAATTCGGGGACATCCCCTAACCTCCTAAGACTCTAATTCGGGGACGTCCCCTAACCTCCTAAGGGGTAATTCGGGGACATCCCCTAACCTCCTAAGACTCTAATTCGGGGACGTCCCCTAACCTCCTAAGGGGTAATTCGGGGACATCCCTTAACCTCCTAAGACTCTAATTCGGGGACGTCCCCTAACCCTAAGGGGTAATTCGGGGACATCCCTTAACCTCCTAAGACTCTAATTCGGGGACGTCCCCTAACCTCCTAAGGGATATAATCAAAAACCCTATCCTAAGGAGAGGGCGATTTGCCCTCTCCAACCGAAGGTCGGGGACGTCCCCTAGCTGTGTAAGGAGAGGACGAATAGAGGACGAATGTGTAATACTACTAAGTGTTTCGGTTTTACAAGCTGTTGTCCTCTGTTTGTCCTCTCCAACCGAGCATCGGGGACGTCCCCTACCTGTGTAAGGAGAGGACGAAATGACCTCTCCTTACACAGCATGTTTAACCAAAAACCTGCTGTGTAAGGAGAGGTCGTCACAGGTCGTCATGTTGCCTGAGCTTGGCTGTTTCGGCCACCCTGGCTGCCTTGGGCCTTCGTCAGTGAGCTGTGTAAGAAGAGGGCTGTGAGAGGACTATTGAATAAAATTCCTTAGGGCAAAACAACCTTTTTCGAATAGTCCTCTCACAGCCCTCTCCTTACACACTTCGCTGCTGTCAGTCTAAGGAGAGAACTGTTAGCCCCCTCCTTAGAAGCCTCACTCAAGTCGTTTCTCGTTGTTTTCGGCTCACAAGCTTTTCCGTGTGTAAAAGCTGTTTCGGCTTAAACCGTCAAACGTTCCAGGCTGCCTCGGCCTGCAATCACAGGCTGTTTCGGCCTGGAATATAACCTCACAGACTGGTTCGGTCTTGGAGCCAGTTTGCTACCACAGTCCACCCTATGAGCTCTGCGACGAGTTGATCCACGACTTTTTCGCGAAGATCATTATCGATCTGACACCTCTGGACGGCCGCATGGCTTGGGCAGCCTTGCGAAATCGGGTATAGGGTATGTAGGAGTTGCCTTCAACCCGGAGCACCACCGGCTGCTTGCATTGCTTGAAAAAGAAATGACAAACCCTGAGTCCAGCTTGTTTTCGTCAGCTTACAGTGAAGCCGTCGGTGGCAGTGGGCATGCACCTGTGAATCAGACCGCAAAACCAAAGGCAAAGGTAAACGCAAAGGCCAAAGGCAAGGGAAAGGCCAAACCAAAGGCTAAGGCAAAAGCCAAAGCCAAGCAAACAAAGGATGAGCAGGAGGAAGGCGAAGAGGAAAACGACGAAGATGAAGAAGACGACGTCTGGGATCCTTTGGGAGACGACGACGATGACGACGAAGAGGACAATGGAGACAAGTGATGTGGCTGCCTCGGCCATAGACGAGACGACGTGGCTGCATCGGCCATACCACGGTTGCATCGGCCGTGTGGCTGCCTCGGCCATAGGCGACGATGTGGCTGCGACATAGGCACTTCGGACCTATAGGCAGTTTTGATTGTGCCTTCCATGCGGGATCGAAAAAAAAGCTGCTTTTAATTTCCCACAAACATGACAGGTTGAAAGGTAAAAGTGTCGACTCTCTTAGGGGGATGTCCTGTTGTCAGTCGGTTTGTCTCATGTTTGCTGTACATGTTCTGAAACATAATCATTTGCGGTTTCTCGCACATTTAGGCTCTAGGCTTAAACTACATATGACCGTTTCCGTTTCCATGCTGATGATGATGCCGCCGCCCGAACTTCCACGATGACGTGGCAACCCCAGTGTAGTCACTAAGCCTGATGCCAAAGTCATCCAAAGGGATCTTCTCAAAAGGTTCCATGTGGAAAAGCTGTACCAGAAGTACAGGCTGCTTCAAACCAGCACATGGCCATCGGAAAGCAAGCTTGCTTCCACTATGCGGATCGAAATTGTGAGAAGAAAAGGGGTTAAGTGGATGAATGAAAAAGAAAAAAACAAAGTGATGAGAAGTAGCATTTTGACTGCATCGGCCAAGCTATGGCTGCTTCGGCCAAGCTATGGCTGCTTCGGCCAAGCTATGGCTGCTTCAGCACATGGCTGCTTCAGCCTATTCGAGTCTACTTTACTAATTCATATGATTTCAAAATCTATGGGAACCCATCTTTAATTCACCTGTTTGTGGCTTGCACAAACCAAACTTGCTGTAGATATTTGGAATCCTCGTTTGCCCAAGAGAAAAAATGCGTGGACCGATGATTGAAGCTATTTTCTTGTTGTTGGAAGACATGACATTGTCACTGCCGGCACACACATGCATTAAAATTTGAGCACACGCAATCTGATATTTCACCCATGGAGACATTAGCACTCCTTTTGGTTAGATTTATATGCTTCCTTCTCCTTCATTCCTTTTACAAACACTTTTTTAAAAGAAACTGTCTACTCCACTTTTTTATTTTTATTTCTCGTTTCAGTAACTTTCTCGTGTAAGTAACTTTCTCGTGTAAGGGCAATTTTTTTTTGTAATACCGTAATGCCGCTAAGTGGATGCAAGGATCTGCTCGTCTTGCTGCCAACAGTTCGCCTATTCTAGCTATCCCTTCGACCCCTAGTAGCAAGGTTGCTGCCACTCTTTTCCATTTCCACAGGTACGCAAGGACGAGCACTTCAGGCAAAGGTTCTCGGTGTCGGACAGGATGAAGCTCCTCCCATCGCGAGATGAGCTCCCACGCTGGACTGATCTCTGCTCGCAGTCTTGGGTATTTTCTCTGAACCAACACCAGAAGATGTCGCAACTCATACAGCTTTCCGCCACAGCTATAAAGGTGAAGACCATACTGCTGCAAAGCCCACACCGCAAGTGAGGGACACAGAAACAATTGCTCCAGAGTCGATTGCGACAGCTTCGAAGCCAGCCATGCAGTAAAAGCCCGCCAAACCCTCTCTTGGATGACCAGGGTTCCATGGTCATGCAACAGCGTCTGCCGCAACTCTTCCGGATCTCGGGGACCCCTAACCACCTGAGGAGGTCCAGGATGGGAAGCTTCTCCCATTCGACTCCCCGAGCACTTTGCCATAGAAACGCTGAGAGGTTCGCCTGTAAGAGGACGTCTGCTGAGGCCAGAGCTATTATAGCCGCACTGAGCTTTCTGCAAAGGCCCAAAGGATAAACCTGAGCAACACGGGTCCAGGAGCACCGATGCGCAGATGAACGCCCGCGCAACTTCAGATGCGAGTGGCCCCCGCAGCAAAGTTCTCGCAGCCCAGATAGCTCGCAGTTGGTGGCTATCCGAGTTGTTTTTCTCCATGGGGTTGAAAAGGTGCACATGTCAAAACGGTAGGAGTTCTCAGCTCTTCCCAGTCCCCTCTTCTGGAACTCAGGATGCAGCCACAGGAAGGAGCCATCAGGGTTCTCAAGCCAAAAAATAAGCCCTCTTTGGGAAAGCAAATCAAAAACCTTACAAACAAAACTTGCATGGCTATTGCCGATGGCCACCTTCACTTTCATATTCTCTGAGATGTTCTCCAGTCCAAGCGGCTTGTCTGCAGAGCGTACCGCAGGAGTGACAGCGCGAGAAAAGCTCGCGCACTCCGGCGCCATACCGCAGCCTAAGAAAGCATCAGCATGCAGAAAGCCATAGATCTGCTGCCGCACCTCTTCATCCAGCAAATTCTGCTCAGCCCCATGCTCATAGTCAGGGGTAAGAACCCAAACTTTATACACAGAAGCCAAGCGCTTCGCTACTCCAGAGGCGCCAGAAAAGAGGTCCAAAAACCCACGCCTACTAAAATCTATCGGCTCATCACTTCGACCGCCCCCAGGACGGATGAACTGTCGTGGAGGCGGTTGCTGGAGCAACTTCAAGGCATCTTCCGACAGAAGAGGCGCTAATTCATTCTCTTTTCTCCCATGGCTCCGACGCACGCGCTTTCCCGCTTTCGGGAGCCCTCCAGGGCTAGGTGTTTTAACTTTACCTACCTTTCTTGCAGGAGGAGCTACCTGCTGTGAAGCAACAGAATTATTGGTGGGCATCACTCTCTGTTTCTTTTGCCTCTTGTTCTTGCTTTTGGTTTGGCCCAGTGGCTCTTTTTGCTCTCTTGTTCGTTCTTTTACATTCAATTTTTTCTGATCTACCTGGTGTGAAACTTGATCCTTTTCCCTGAAAGCTTTCAGCTTTTCGGGTTTCTGTACAGCTTCAAGCGGCTTCAAAACTTCGCCGGAAAAAACCTTCCAAGAAAAAGTGGTTTCATCTGCAAAAGGGAGACCAGCTACGGAAAAAGGGTCAAAACCACAACTAGACAACCATCTATCCATCTCATCAAAGCAGCCCTGAAACGCTTTGTACAGCCAATTAGGAGTAGACCTACTCGGCGCTCTCACTGGTTGACCTCTAGTTGGGTCATCACTCGGGTTTGCCAGGGACGGCGCAAAGCCGTAGCAGCCATAGATCCCGCTTCCAAGCACCACTGGCAAAGATCTCCGCAGAGCCGCATTGATCCTAGGAGAGCTTGAACTGCCCTTCAGCAGCGCAGCAAGCGCCACCTGGCTATCAGCCCCAAGAAGGTAGCGCAGGCTAACCCCACGCAATGCCAGCTTCTCTTCCGAGCGGAAAACAGCTTCCAGCTCAAGCAAATTGATGTGCTTGCGTCCATGGCTTTTTTCTCTAATCAACACCCTAAACTGCAAAACTTCCGCTAAAAGCAGCCATAGCGGATGACTGACCAAAGGGACACCCTCCGGAAGCTCATCCTCAGGTTCTAAACCACCATGCTCCCGCAGCCAGGCTCTCCACGGCACCAAAAGCTTAGCCCACACGCCTCTGGCCAAGCAGTGCCGCTGCATCTCTCTGCTGAAGACGAGCGGAAGCTCCGACTGCACTGCAGCAATGCCCCATTCAGAAGCATCCGTCATGAAGATCTCATCCAAGGAACCAGCGCGCATCTCTGCCACCATGGTAGGGCCCAAGACGACCAGAGTCCAGAGTTCTTGCACCAAACCCTTGGCAAGCGCAACCACCGCATCTCTAGGTCTGCCTCGCTGAGCTGCATAGATCATCTCAAGCAGGCACATAGCTCTCCGCCGGATCTGAAGCACAGAGCACCAGGCTCCAGCAAGGACTTCAAGAAGACCTACTGAGGCAACCTGCAGCCGCACTACTTGCGCTGTGATATGAAGGAAAGGGATCAGCCGCTTCGGATTGGGCCGAACAAAACCAGATCTTCCATTCGCCACCACCCCCCAGCTCTCGGCCACCTCCTCTCCTCTGAAAGTCTTGGCCGGGTGTGAAGTGAGGCCGACCTGCAGGTACATCTCGCACAGCTGGTTCAGCCGTTGCACACTTTCTAGCAGCTCTTCTTCGCATTCGGCTTCAGCAGAACTTTCACAGACCTGCTCAGCCAAGAGCACATCGTCAATGACGACTCCAGCTGCTATAGCTCCTCGAGGAAGCCGCCCATGCACGGTGAGCAACTCCGAAGGTGAAAAAGCTCTACTAGCAAAACCTAGTTTGATGTGCACCTTTTGGCCCATTTCAACAGCCTGATTGTCCCCCATAGCCAAAGAAGTGAGGCAAGGATAAAGTCTTTTGTGGTTCCAAAGCTTCTCTGAGAAACATGACAAACTTGATGCTTGCTGCGGTGTCAAAGTACAAGCTAGAGCATTCCTCAAACTTCGAGCCCGGGAAACTTTGAAGCAGTGATAGTAGTCTTGCAAGTCAGTTCCACTAAAAAGCATGTTGCAACCATCACGAAGTTCAAGCTGTGCTAAAGATTGACTGGCCCCCAAAGTACTACACCAAGCATGCAAAGTCTCCTCAAGAAGGTTCGGAGCTCGTGCATCTAAGATCAGTCTGTCCTTTTCAGTGTCCTTTATCAATGCAAAAGCACCGCAAAGATGAGTCGCCCTAACTTCTGCCTCTGTAGCCAATGCTAAACGATGATGACTGTCTAAAAAGCGAAGAAACTCCAACTGCTTGCCCTTTTTCGTATGGACTCGCACTCGAGGAGGTGATTCCAAGCTACACGCAGGAGCCACTGCAGAGGCTATGGGATCTTTGTAAACACTGAGGTGAGGTTCTTCAAGAAAAGGTGTAGGGTCAAAAGCTGGTCTCTCTTTTGGCAAGGACAAACGTTCAGGTTCAACTTCTTTAGCAACTACGGGGGTACCCTGATGCATAGAACCAATGACTTCACCAACAGCCAAAGCATCTGAGCCGCTCCGCAAGGAACTAGAAGAGGAAACACCTCGCGCAGCAGCACTTGTCTTCGCATATGCTGCTGCAGGCATAGAGTCTAATGTACTTTCATGCAGACTCCTCAAAATGCTGTCCAAGCCTTCCATCTTGGCCGCAGATCTGCCCATCTCAGCAGGTCCGACAATGCCACAGCCGCTAATGTCAACCACAAAGCTTTCGAGACGGTGCACCACCTTCATCTGAGCAGCAGCGCATCGCAGTCCCAACCTGTACCCCTTTGGAGGCTTTCTCGGCGAGCCCAAACGCAGCCAAGACAAGACCAGCAGGATAAGGTTCAAAATCTTCATCTCAGCTCTGCGCCGCTTCGCGCAAGAAGGTTGACCTGGAACAGGTTCAGCAGCTGTAGACTTCCAGACACCCGGGTAAGGTGCCGGGATAGGCCAAAACGGCAAGGCTGTGCTCTCCTCTGCGGAGAGAGGGTCTCTGAGGTAAATGTGGAGAAAACAAGCAAAATCGGTGTTGGAGCGCAAAACCCATCTCAGCATAGAGCTCCACAAAGACAAAATATCTACAGGCTTCGCTGCAGATCCAGGAACATGCACTTTTGCAGATAGAGAGGAATCAAGCGGCAACCCTTGAGCCTCAGCAATCTCAGCGTCAGCTTCCTCACCAAAGGCGCCCTCTACCTCTCCATCAACTAGGCCTCTGCTGAGGCAGGTGTGCTGCTTGCTGCAGCCTCTGCCCCACTCACACTCGTCTTGCCCTTCTTTGCACCATCTTTTCCTCCTCCCTTTGGAGCCCGTTTTGGGTCGGCTTTTGCAGCAGGTTGAGTGGGCTGCTCCTTTCCCTTGCCTCCCCCAGGCGAGCTCAGCTTCAGCTTCTTCTATCAACTCGAACCACCTCGGATCGATCAGCTTCTCCCAACTCTCCGGAGGCACGTGGCTCTGGAAAGAGTGGGCCGGCGGAGCCGGCTCTAAAGACAGCTCCGCTGCTAGTAACCAGTTGCCTCTGTCGCAGCTCTGCTGGTCGATCTGAGCCAATGCCAACCCAGCACGAGCTCGAGCTTCTTCCACCTTGTTGCACCGGAGCGCATCCCAAATGCCAGCTAAAGCCCAAGCCGTCCTGATCGACGATGGGGCTCCTGTACTTTAACCAGCCTCGTGCAGTGACGGTAGAACTCTGAAGGCCGGGCTGAACCCCATTCAGCTCCCAATCTTCTTGAAGTCGCCGCTGGAGCTCCATGTAGATCAGAGCCGGATGGGTCTTGAGGAGAGCCTGCAGAGAGCGCAGTGCAGCAGCCCTGGATTTTCCATAGCTCAAGGAGTCTTTGCCCGATCCAGATTCGGCGCGATCTAGGATTGAGTCCAAAGTCTTCGCTTTCTTCTCTTTCCTGTCCCGATGCATCTCTCTGAGCACTTTGGACATCTGGGTGACCGCCTTGGCGACCGGGTCTGCAGATCCAGCGCCTGGGTCTTCGTCCTCCTCCAAATCTTCGTCCTCGCTGGAGACCTCTTCCAAAACCGCCGCAGTCTTGCCACCTGCGGGCCCTTTGCCAGCCACTTGCAACTGAGCCAACTCCGCCAGAGCATCTTGAGACACACCAGCCTGCAGGGCGTGCTGAGCAACGACTGGGTCCAGACCAGGCGGAGTCTCCACCGACTTTCGAGTCTTCGCTGGAGCGGCAGGTTTTGCTTTTTTGGAACCTGCAGCAGTTGGGCCCGGGGAGCCAAGAGCGGCCTCCAAGGTAGCTTGCAACTTTGACAGACCCTCTTCCAAGCTCTGCAAACGTCCTTCTACGTGATCTCCTTTGCCTTGAGCTCCACCTTCTGAGTAGGAAAGAAAAGTGAAATGATCTCGAGCTGCAGCCACCAAGCTTTCTGCAAACGGCAGCAGCTGAATCCCTTGAGAATCTACAGGGAAGGCGATGTCCGGCGCCACCCCAACACTGAAGTCGACCAGGTCGGCGACTTCTGGAGAAATGAGGCCTAACCAGACCTTCATAGTGCTGTCTATAGGTCTGCAAGCTCGCGATTGTCCTGAGGGCATGAAGGGACGATCACTGCCACAGCCTTTGACAAAGTGCCACTTGGAAAAACTCTTTTGGCAGTCTTCTTGTGCCATACTTGCTCAGGGAATGCACAAAGGAAGCGACCGTCAACTTCAGCAACTCCTACACAAGACGCTGAAGGCTTCCCTTGAAGCAGCAAAACTCCCACCTGACAGTCAGGCTCTATGTCACCCGATTCTGAGGCAATCAAGCAGTCTCGGAGAGTAAGGGCCTCACCGTCCTCCCCCTGCTCTTCTTCCAGCATCAGCAGGCCCGCCGCAAAGCGGAGGGTTCAGAGAAGCCAGCAGACTGAACCACCAAACGCGCTTCGGCCTTGGTGGGAAGCCCAACAAAAACTGAATCACCTGGTTGCCCCTCAGAGGAGTACACTCGGGCTTTTGCCTCTCGCCAGCTGCAAAAGACCAAACGAGGATTGTGCACAGCCTGGTCAAAAGTGCGGAAGACCAGGTAGTACTTGGAAGCCAGCTGCACTCGCTCTCGGCCAGAAAGACCTCGGAGTTGTCCCGCAAGGCAACGCTTGACCCAAGCCCCAATGTCGCCAGCAACCTCAATGCGCTCGCGAGAGAGATCACTTGCAGCAACTGTAGATTCAGCAGCAGCAGGCCCACTGGTGACAGCGCTCACGGCTTCGAAAGAGCCCAGAGAACCGCCGGAGGGAGAGCGCTCAGGCTGGGTTTCCCCAACAGTCAAATTTCTGATCAACCCTGTTAAAACCCTAACCTCAGCAACAAGAGACTCAAATTCAGCTCGAGAAACAGGGTTAGAGCCCAAGCCGGTACAAGGGAGACCTATGTTGCTTTGAGAGCTGTGAAAGCTTTGCACGAACAAAACTCCTCCAGCTCTGCCTCACCAAAAAGCAAAAGTCCAGCAAAGGCCCAATGCTAAGCCCCAAAAGGATACCCAGAGCCAAAGAGGGGAGATCAATGGAAAGCTCCTTGAGGGAGTTGAAGGTGAAAGCAGCAGGCGACTCAAGGACCAAGCTGGGCAACACCTCAGGGACCGGGCAAGTCACTGGTTGTTGGAAAAACTCGTGGACCACCTGCCAGACAAGTGCCGAAAGTGAGCCAGTAGCCGCTGACGCAGTGAGGGCACGGTTCATGCAGGATTGAGCCACTAAATTCTACAGCATACATCCCAGCATGCAGACATAAATCGACCCAATCCCTATGTGTGGCTGGCTGGCAGGAAACACATACTGCCACCGCTGACTGTAAAGCACCGGGCATGTAGTCTGAAACATGGCAATGAAGCTGCTGCGAAGTCCTTCATCCTCAGCAGAGTTTCAAAACCCAAATGACCGAATATATGGTTCAAATTTTTGGCACAACTTGGCAATTCACCTTTCTAAGTTCTACTTTCCACTGGCCACACTCAGGAAAAATGTCAAAATTTGAAAGAAAATCTTCATTTTGATTGAAACATGACACTGTGATCTTCCTGTTGTCTTTGATGCATATCTTGTTGAACCGGTTGCAGCGACTGATGTTGCTGAAGAAAAGAGAAATGGCGTGCAAGCGCGGCTCAAAAAAGGCCTCCCAATCAAAGAACGACTCGAGAGACTCCATTACCTGAGTTGATTCAGGACTAGTTTGTTAAACCTAGTCTCATAATCACATCTTTCAAATTTTCTAAACTTCTCCGCCACCAACCATTCTAACAAGGAGGGATGTCTCAAGATGAAACCTGTTAACCCAAAACAGACAGTAAAACAGTAAACTTCGCAAAAAAAAACACAAGCTTGCCTGCAGCCTACCCGAGGTTAACCCCCCATAGTATTCTGGTTTTACATATTTGCTGGGTTGTGGGGCTTTCTGGCGGGTGACAACCCCAGAATGTATTGCTCAAAATGGTCAGAATCTCCTACTTTCCTAATTAATTCCTACCAACCCCAAGTATCAAATTTCAAACCAAAGGAACATGATGGAGGGCATGGTCAGCATCTGGCAAGGGAAGTGACATCCCGAACAGTGTGTCAAAGGGCAGCGCATCACGTAGGAAGGAACTTGGGGACTTCCAAACTCCAGTTTCAGCCCCCCAGTCAAAAAGTAGCGATAAGCATCTTCCCAAAGTTCCCGAAAGTTTTTCAGATTCCTCAATTCAACATGACATATTGTCCAAATGGAAGAAGCGAGGATCAAAAATCATTGAGCATTCTGACTGTAGCAGGACTTTGGCTTGGACAAAATCACAAAGTTTGCCAAAGCCATAATGCCATATGTTTCAAAACAAGTTTCCAAGGAAAATTGGTGAAGTAGCTTCTGAGTCTTGACAATGACAGAAGACGCACGTGCCCCCAAACCCTGCCCGACTAGCAAGCGTGTCACTAAGTTTCCAGGCTTGGCCACATCGTTCCACATCTTACAACATCATCCGGTCGAAAAATGTCACATTCAGTCATAAAATAATCCTTGCCATACTGTAAGCTTGCGTCCAGTCTGGCATGAACAAACCAATTCGATTGCAGGTTGAAAATGTTCTTCCGAGCCCAGAGCATCGTCGCAAGGTCTAGGTCAATCCGATACTTGTAAAGGATGGATTTCTTCGGAATTGATATGTTTATGTCCTTACAGGATTGCTGGGGCCCGGTCACTTGTGCAGAAGAAATCAAATTTATATCTTTAAAATTCGTTGTGATCTTCAGCTAAAAATCTAAGCCCATCAAGAACTATGCACAGCAACGAGGATCTTGCCAACACATGTGTTTGCGAAGCTCTTCGTGCAACGCCAGACCAAGCGACCTCATATGACCATATGATATATGGCCACAAATATTCAAAAAAAACATGTATCAATGCTACTTGTCGGGCTGATGACCAGTGATATTGAAGTCAACACATACTTTATGACAAATAATTACCATGTTTCGAAAAGAGAAGTTATATGAAAAGTTGTGATTAAGAAATAAGAGCTGACACCCAACCCCACCTACTCAGAAATCCGAAGCGAAACCTTGGGGACTATAGAAACTTCTAATTTTCCTGCTGGTTTGGCACCCCAAAATCTGACCCACAACTCTACCCTCAGTAACCTTTTTCCTACAGGTTTGCTACATGTTTAGTTGGTTGTGGGGGTCAGATTTTGGGGTGCCAAACTAATAGGAAAATTGTTAATAGAAACACAAAGAAATTGAAGTGAGGTACTCTGTCAGTACCTGGTCCATGTCATCCAGAGACTTCAACTTGTCTGACAATAGAACAGCATCCAGTATGTAGGATGCTGTGTATTCCAATCCGCCAGTTCTCTTCGATTGCCGCCCTTTTACAACCTAAGTTACAATCAGTTCACGAACGAAAAGGAAACCGAACTTGAACAGCCGGGGCAGCTCCATTTATTTATCAAATAAAATACAGTGGTTTTATTTAAATGCACATCAAGAAACTGTCAACCATTCGGTGAGATTCTTGAGGTGTTCCTCTCGAATAGGGCTTCCCAGTGGCCCAAGTGCTGCAGAAATGCTCTGAAGCGCATGGCTGACACTTGAAAGGCATTGCTCTTCTGGAAATGTGCCAGACGAAACTGATGGGTCCATCACTGCGGTACATTCAAAAGATTGTTTCCTGGCAGCTTTGTCAGCAGGACCCACCATAGTTTCCCCTGTCCTCTTTGCCTGTGCACGAGGAATCTCCAAACGGTGTTTGTTTTCAAAATCCCAAGGTGTTGCGATTCCGATAGCAAACTCCAAATCACGCAGGGAACAGCTGGATGGAATATAGTGAGTGTCCAACAAAGACCCAGATGTGACATTTAAACGCATTGTGTCACTTGTCAATTCCGCTTTCAGAATTTCACGGTCCTCAATGGGAATAACGGAATAACTGTATTTGTTCTACGTCCCCTTGTTGTCTTTCCTGCCCCCTGGACAGGTTTGAACTCCACAACACAAAGGTCAGTGTTAGCACCAGAATCTCTCACACTCAATTTGTCATAGAAATTTCCACCGGTGTCAGGCCGGTGCCACATCCAAATGATGCCCGAACCGGGTGCTTGATACCGACCTCTCCCTCTATCCACCACAACTGCCGCGAAGTGCGCAGTCTGCTCTCGGGGTTGGCGCTGCCCAAATGGCACAATGCCATCATCATCATCATCATCCATGGTAGACGGTTGCGGTCCAAAGAAAAAGATGGTTGCATCTTGAATCTTGAACTGTTGTGTAGGCCCAAGATGTGTTCAAAAAAACCAACGCTGTGAGTTGACCAGTTTAATTCAAATTGAATTCAAACGCATAGGTTTTCATTTTCTGTGCTTGACTTTTTCTGAATAATGTTTTCCCTGATGTTTGAAACATGCACAGCTGTGAAACTGTGAAACAGCTACAAGGACACATCTTGCCAGCACCTTGGTGACCCCCTCCCGCATGGGCCAGAAACCCAATATGTGCAAAATCAAAATTTGGTAGCCCAAATTGATGGTCAAATTACCCATATGTTCCAAACCACCTTGGGGGCCTCCAAAGCTTATTTTCTAGATCCGCAACGGAATCAGTAGCCTCAACTTTGATCAAAAATCTCCCCTCATACTTTCGCTTCTCACCCTTCTTGTCTCCTTCCAGCAACTCTACTTTGAAGTGATTACCAGAAAGCTCTGAAATCACCAAGCCCAATTTCCCGTCGTAGAGTTCTTTCTGTTTGGTCGCCTTTGTCTTCACCTGACAAAAACCCAGGAAGATCCTGAAACTTCCAGGTACAGAGGAAACATATGGTTTATTCAAGTTGGTATTCCACAGTTCCACAGATAATTATTTGGATATTTGTAAAAACCAAAAATTGGGATATGGGGATTATGTGGAATGCACAAAATATAAATCCATTATTCGATTCAAGGTTGGACTGGAACCTTTAATTTGTTGGACTGCACTACAGAATAGATCATGCCAGGGGCCTGGTCACCAACTGCAATTTTCACCGATGGCTGCACCGTGGGTGTCGCAGCCGGGGTGGCGGGTGTCGCACCCGGAGTCGAAGTATCGGTTTCACTCTCCTTCTTCACCTTCGGCTCCTTTTTCTCAGCTGGGACTTTCAAGTGCTTCGCCAAGAATTTCAAAGAAGGTACATCTCGCTCCAAGTCCTGCCACCAGGAACAGCATGCTTTACTTCAATATATGTGAAAAAAAAAACTGCAAGGGGGAGAATTTCCGTCAACGTTCGGCGGCAAAGTGGGCGCGAGTTTCTCCAGGACTGAAGCGTGGTCATTGGTAAAGCTGTCAAAAGACATGTCCGGGAAGCCTGTGGTATCCACCCCAAGCTTCAAGCCACTCAAATCCAGGAAGATGCGCTTTGGCCAAGGCTGCAACGAGCTGCTGGTCTCCAGCCAGGGACAAGAGCTTGTCATAGAGCTGCAGCAATGACTTCGCAACGCTGTTTGACACATGTTTCAAGGCCTGTTCATCTCGGCGAACCAAGGTTGCACCATGGACCAGCCGCGATACCGGGACCTCCTGCCAAACCGTGCTTTTGTCGAGGAAAATGATGATGATGATGATGATGATGATTGTGACCTCTCGCCATACAGTCGGGTGCACATTTTGCCGGCCTCATCTACCAAAAGTGCTCCGAACGTGACAGTGATTCATTAAATGACAATGATAAATGATGTATCATACATCCACGGCCTGATACCACCTTTTTTCCCCACAGGAGGTTTGCTCTAGGGCTGGCACCTGAGTCACCGTTAGAAAATTTAACCCCCTGTCAATTAAGGGGTGGGGGCTGTGCAACCATTTTGTAGTGAAGAAACGGCTTGCATAGCCTCAAGCTCTACTAAATGGATGCGCATGCATGATCGAATTTCACTACTAAATGTGGGCCCCTGGTTCAGCTGAAGCGCAAAATTTGGATATATTTTCAGGGTGTCTTAAGACACCAACATGACTCGACCAAACACCCTGTTCCATTTAGTAGAGGTACTCATTTGAGCACAAGTTGCGGGACCAACATCACTCGACCAAAACCCCAAAGCCATTTAGAAGAGAAATACACGGGTCCATTTAGTAGAGAAAACAACATGAAACACATATGACTGATCCCATGCATTTAGTAGAGGCAGCACTTGGCTAAACAGGGGAAATCTTGATAGATTTTGGACATTTTGGGACTACAA